CTGTGCATTGACAAATCATCGACAACGTAAGGCCCTTTTCATTTTTATTATTGTATCACTAGACCCGAATCACCCTTTCTAACCAAAATTTCTTCCTTTCGAACCACAAATAAAGAATTCTCGCTTAAATTCAAGACTAAATTATGATAATTAATTCATGAATAGAGATTCAATGCTGCTTAACTATAGACATTTAATGTTACTAACTAAACCATCAGGCACCAAGTTCACTGTTTCTGATGGTGATACAACTTACTACATAAAGTTTGCATAACACATAGTCCAATAAATACAACTATTTCAACCAAAACATCACTAATTGCTAACTTTAACTATTACAGCGGCTTCACCATCGCAAAATTCATTTGTCTTGGGCAGTTTCTCACTTGATGTCCAAGTTGGCCACATCTAAGACATGCATCAGTTTTCAAATAACATAATCCAGTATGAATTTTGTTACAGGTTTCACACTTAGCAGCTACGCATCTCTTCTTGAAGCGTCCATTCTTTCTTTTCTTCTTACCTTTATTCTTCATAGCAAGTTCATCTTTACTAATCACTTTACGTTTTCCTTTAGTATCGTGGGAACTTCCTTCACCCCTTTTAACTTAATTACTAAAAATTCACTACACCTCCCCCTAGGGTGTACCCAAGGGTTTGGCGGACCGTCTGTCCAACTTTCGTTAGAACTCATTCACGCACCACAAAATTTACAAAACAATAACCTCAACAACAAGAGCAATAGCAATCCCAACCTTAGATACGTACAATTAGGGACATCATATGCCCAAATCATCCCTAAATATAGCCATGGCTCTAAGCATACAAAGTAAAACTAAGCGAATCCGATATGGAGCTAAGAAGTGCTCACACGAGCAACTAATAAAATTTAGACAAAGATTCCATCTTCTCTAACTCCCACTCTCACGTTCTCGCCCCCTGTAAGGAAAACAAACTAATGGAATGAGCTAAAAGTCCAGCAAGTTTCCAAGAATACATGCAAGCAAACTATCAGACATGATAGAGTCACATTATGACATGAACGCATATGTCAGGAAGCATGTAATATCCAGATAGATCATGTATCAAGGTACAGTAAGGAACACATTCAAGTAAAAGAATATAATCTGCTCTCAGGAGCAGATTCCACAGCAGTTTGTCCAGGATCTGTTGACACCCCGTCAACCATGGAATTATAATGTCCGTAGATCACCACTTAATCGCTAATTTCCATCAATCGATCATCCCCCTATTGGACCCGAAATCCAAACAAGTACCCACCATTCGTCAATCTCCTCGACCAAACCCTTTACTGGCTCGATTCGACCAACTAGCCATGGGGTTAGGTTTAGAGCCCCAAGTATTCAAGTATTCATGATCTAGACTTAGGACCCCAAGTGTTCAAGTATTCACGAGTGGAGTCGTTGGCTATCACCCAACGCTCAAGCATGTTATGATTGGAGACATTAGTTGTCACCTAACGCTCCGGTATTTAAAAGTATAATTGTTTCAAAGTTTTACAGTTTGAAAAGCGAGCAAGAGTTTTACGAATATTCTCTAAATGAGTTTCAATTACTTGATTCTTGTTAAACGAAACGTTTAAGTTTCGAACCTTAGTTGATTTTCAAAACTCGTCAACGATGTTTTATCGCAGATTTGGACTCCCAACAAGGAGTAATACCTGACCGTGACCCGTTAAGGCACTACATCTTTGGTGAGTGCTTCTGAATACCTGATTGAATTTGACATTTGTGTTTAATACTTGACCAATGTGATTACATGATATATGAGTGGATTGATAGGGCAAGAGTGTACTTTATCGCACTTGTTCTAATGTGATATATTTTTGTTCAATGATTTCAATTGAATTGATATACATGCGTATGAGTTGTATCTTGTCTGGAATTCCAGAAACCCTGTGGCTAGTTGGTCGAGTCGAGACGGCAAGGGCTTGGTCGATTCACTAACGAACCCTGGGTCATTAGTTTTGTCGAGTGGAGTGCTATTTTCTCGACTAATTGGTATACTTGAGTATTACTAACAGTGTTTATTGAGGATTTTGGACCCAGTAGGGGGTTTGGTTGGTGAACGGAGATTGTAGCTAAGTGGTGCTCTACTGGACTGGTTCCTTTACTTGAAAGTTGACAGAGTGTCAACTACTACTTGATCAAGCTCTGGTGAAGCAACCGGAACTTGGCTCTTGAGAGCCATCTGTATCCGTATATTTTGACATGATCGTTACTCATTGCGTTATTGTTTCTTTTGAAAAACTTTTAAACTCACCCATTTTGAGATTTGCTACTTGAAGTGTTATTGCTCACTTTTATTAACTTGTTATGCTCGCTATTTTTCTACATTGATACTTGTACTTTTAAATAATGGTCAACTTGCTATTTGGAATCTCACTGGGCTTTTAGCTCATTCCACACCATTTGTTTTCCTTACAAGGGTACGAGCGAGGCGTGAGACTTGTACAAACTAGTGTGGTCTAGTTTTTTTGAATTTTGCAATTGTTCTCGCACTAGCACCCGACTAGGGATTGATTGTACTTGGATTGTAAACATTTTAATGTATTTGGGCATGTATGAGACTTGTAGTTGGATTTGAGCATCAGTGTATATGCTAAGTTTGAAATCGTTGTTTTATTTCTTTTTTATGGTTGTAAGTTCTTTTCTCGAATTAAGCATGAATGAGTCCTGGCGAGAGTTGGGCAGGCGACTCACTAAATCCTAGGGTAAACCCTAGGGGGAGGTGGGGCCATCACAGTCTATGATTCGAGTAACTTTTCAATTAGCATGCCAGCAGCAAATTTTTTAGGCAAATTATGTCTTCATTTTTGAGATCCTTGAGCAGCATTTGGTACTTCATAATTTGTACCTTCATTTCTTTGTCTTATGTCATCTGCCATTGATTGTACTTTCCCACGACGAATTTTTGTTTGGTGGCATCTTATTAGCATATTGTCAGGATTCTTGCGTCTTGACATCCATAGTTGTAGTTGGTTGTGTTTTTGTCAGTGCATAGGCCACTCCATGAATGTCGAGTAGAGAGTGCACACGTTCTTGCCACCTTTTGAAGTTTTCATTGGCAAAAACTTCAATTTCGAAGACGTCTGGAAAAGGTTTAGCCAAAGATAATACAATTGCAACTGATGTCGATGCCGGTTGTGAGGTGTTAACATTGGGGAGGCCATAGTTTCTTAGATTGTTGGAAAATAGCTACAAAACAATGTTAACTAAAATTAATGTAATGTAGCTTGAGTCATGCTTTATAGAACTGTCCTAAGAAACTATTTCAGGAGGTTGAAATGTTTCCCCAAGATTAAATAAGCCTTCTTCCTATTATAAACAAGAAAGATCAGAACTAGCAAATGTAATGTAAATCCAGCAGTGGAGGAAGAAGAAGTAGAAGTAGAAGAAGAAAGCAGACAGGAAGGTATCTACTGTCAGGGGAAGAATTGGTGTAATTTTTCAAAGGGGAATGGTTACTATTTATAGGCATCAGAAAGTATACATTAGAAAGGATAACATCTGATAACATAACACAACGTGGGCTAATTTCTCGTATAACAGAAAAGAACATTGTGAACGTGCACCGACTCTCGTAACCGATGAGATTCTCGGGGAAAGAGTCAAACTTTGATTTGTAAAAATATAGAAGTAAAAAATTTTTCAAAGGGGAATGGTTACTATTTATAGGCATTAGAAAGTATACGTTGGAGAGGATAACATCTGATAACATAACAAAACGTGGGCTAATTTCTCGTATAATAGAAAAGAACGTTGGGAACAGGCATAACTCTTGTAACCGATGAGATTCTCGGGGAAAAAGTCAAACTTTGATTTGTAAAAATATAAAAGTAAAATTTTATTCTTGCTCGCAGCAAAATCACTTTGAGTCGTATTTAATGGCCGTGCGCACGGGGAAGGGAGGGCAAATCCATCAATTTGTACTGAAATGGCCCAACTCAAGCCGCCTCCACATGCGCACGAGCCCACACTTGTTGCCAAATTGACACAAGCCCAATAAGAGGCCCAACATTATAAACCTTGAGAGGTCCCATTAGTTTTCCGATGTAGGACAAAATTTTTGAAATAAACAACACACTACAACAAAAATGGCCTTTAGCGGCATTTAAAAGTGTCAGTATAGATAATCTAACCTGACATTTTATCTATCCTCACACCTAGGGCGAGTGTTGTCCCTTCCAATGTGGGAATAGCCTCAAATCTTTAGCAACATTCAAACGTGTCAGGAAAACCATGCTGCTATAGCATTCCCTCTGCCAACAAAAACTTTTTTTTGTGATAATCGAAAGTGTCCGTATAGCATTAGAACATCAGTAGCGGATCAGTAGTATATCCAATTTATGAAGGCATCTTTAGTTGTCTTAATATATGGCTTTAAGGACACGTAGCCATGTGAATTTACACTGCTTTGGACGACATGCCCATTTGTCATTAATGTTTTTGGAAGCTAAGCTATGCTGACACTTTTAATTGCTAGGAGTTTTTTCCCTATTTTTTTTTATATGGAAGCAACCTGCAATTAGTCCTCCCTGCTGTACATTCCATCAACCAGAATCCCAAGGGACTTGTAAAATTATCCCAAAGAGCAGAATGCATATAGCAATTTAAAAGAAAAAGTCGATACTCAAATATAATTCATTGAATTAAAAGTCGATAACAAGTACAAATATAGCAAGTACTAAAATCGCAAACAAGTGCTCAAAGCAAGTACTAAAATCCTAATAAAGTACCGAAAGATTCTCATTTACAATAACTTGAAAGACTTTCTTGTGCACAAACAAAAAAACTCTCATCCCTAACAAGTTGAAAGAAATGCTAAAAGTCAGGTAACGTAATTGTACAATATTAGCAACGATCCGTGAGAGGTATAGTATATATATAGTACATTGTTTGGGCTCCTATAAAGCAGGATATTAAAACCGAGCAACCCATACCGTCAGCAAACTAATCAAAGTGAAGTCAGCTCCTTGAATTTCTGTCTAATGTGATAATTGTTTGCACCAGTAAAGTACTTTACGGGCATTTTCTTTGAACATAAGAAGTTCCATGTTCCTCAAACCTATTAATCGAGAGATAAAACAGACTAAAAATGGGGAGAAAAAAAGAAAAAAAGTTGAATATTGAAAGGTAGAGTGGATGTAAAAGCTTACTCAGATTTTGAAAACCACATTTACTGAAAGGAACCAAGTGCCGCCAATATACTCCCACCTGTCCAAACACTGAATGCGACAGGTTAGTCAACAATGCATGGCACTGGCATGCAAAATTAGTTCTTGCTACAGATGAATAAAGCTAGCTCAAATTCTGCCCACAGGCAAGGGCTTAGAAGTGTAACCAGTTAACTTGATTAACACCTTCTTGGTATAATGCCAGAGGTTCAGCATCGTTTGTAACTTCATTAGAAACTATTGTCATATGCATATTTGGCCAAAGTTTTCATAGAAACAGATACTCATTCAAAATAGATAGCAATTTCACATTTAGTGCTTCAAACATTAGTAGAATCATAATAGAAATGTATGGCTTACCTTAGCCAGAAGATGAAGACCATGTTCAATAAGTATGGAAACAGCAATCAAGATGAAATAAACAACTACCACTGCCCATGTTGATGTATGCTCAAGAGTTGTCTCCTCATTTCCACTTCCTTCAGCCATCTCTGGGTGGAGCAGTCTGGCTATGCTTTAGTAGAGGTTAGTGCCAATCCTTCAGAAGAAGAGAAAACAGCCGAGAAATTGAAGGGATGAAGAAAAGTGTATCCAGTGATCTGGGGAAACAGAAATTTTTTTTCCAATTCTTGAGCATTTGAGATTGGAAAATGATAGGAAAAAAATTGCAACAATAATAATATAATAACACCCCAGGAAATAGTTTGCGTTCAAGCAATTCAACCTACTGGAAATCATGTCATGCTAGAAATATAGCCTTTGGTCTATCAAATGTGATGGAAAAAATTATAGATATTGGACATAACTATGTACTGCAATTTCCTACTTGACAAGGTGTGTGGGACATGTGTCCAAGTCTCTGCCTCAGCTGGTCCTCACTTAAGTCAGTGCTAAACAAGTCATCATTATTTTTTAAGCCAAATCAATCATTGAAGCAGTTTTGGGGAGCGTAGCATTGTACTCCCAATCACTAACTGGTGCCTAAACAGCCAATATTGTCAACAAGCTGAAACTAAAGCTCGTCGTCCAGGCAACATTACATACAGTAGTGATCACAGTACCAACACTGTCAAGTAATGCACTGAACAAAAGACAGTATGACTAAGCAGATTAATCATTCTCCTTTAAACATCAGATAATATATATTATGTTTGACCAACTACAAGGGGCATTTGTCACGACAAAAGGGACGAGTGTGGATGCAGACACAAAAGTGCACAGATTCAGGAGCTCAGAGGCATAAGAGATTCTTAAATTTCTCTCTTTTATGAAAATGATGGTAGAAGCACCAGCATGATCAGCCAGAATAGTGTTCGATACCAAGCATCCCTTAAGCTAAAGAATCATATGCTAGCAAAATTTAATCTTATTTCACACAAACATAACCATAGATGTTGTCCAAGTTCAAAGTTATAAACTCGTACATCAGATCAAAGCACTTCTTCGAAATCAGATTAAGGGATCATGCAAAATCAGGTCAGAACCTCACCAAAGGCAACCACAACAAGGAGACAAATTAAAGTTTCAGCATTTTGTCTATATACTCTCTCACACGAAAAGATAACTTTTAACTGCTATCCAACAGCATGATAAACTAGTGCTGATTGTATCACCAATTCAACATCACAGATGCATCAAAAGCTACAATCCCCATGACTCAAACCTCTCAAATATCCATGTCCGACTCATTATTAATACACCCCTATGCTGCCAAAGCCTACCAGTACTTCTTATAACACTCAACAAACTGAATCAGTTCCCAGTGATTACCAAGTACTAAAGTAAATTATACAAGTCTACATTCGGGTAGCGAATAAAGCAAGCTATGATTTATAAAGCCTAATCAATCTACGGCTTAATCCTCTAAAACCACCCTCTAACACTCAGTTTAAAAAACAACAAAATGCTACAGTCCTTTAATCTCATCCATATAGTACCCTAAAGGGACTGTAAAACTCCCCAAAAAATATCAAATCTAAATGCACCATACATGTTCATTTCTGACTATGTAAACCCAAATCACCAACTAACAAAAAATAATTACCTAAAAAGAACTCAAAATCAGACAAAAGTAAACAAAAGAAAATTTTCAAAAAATTTTCAAAAAATAGAAAAATAATAAAGAATAATACCTTAAGATACTTAAGCTTCAGATTTCCATAGACGACTCCAAACGTGAAGGCTGAAGCACGAGCCACCTGCCACCAGTTATACGAAAACGAAAAAAATCCAAATTAGATCAGACATCAATGAAATTGTGAGAAATTAAAGCTGGCGGAGGTAGATGGTTTACCAAGGCAAGAGTGCTGGTGCCGGAGTAGGGTCCAGGAGAAGGTGACATTTGCTGCTGATTGTTGAAATCGAAGAAAGAATAACTGCCCCAAATCTAAGGTCTCTCTCAGACTCAGAGCCCTAATTTTCGTCGGACACCAGTTTGGAAATTAGAAATGTTGGGGAGATGGACGAGGGCTTCCCTTAGCTCCTGCATTATTCAGTAAGGAAAAGGCCCAAAAATGTAACTCTTTTTGCAGGAAACCACCAACCTAAATTTACGTATAGAAAAATTGCAGAGTATAACCTGTTCATCGACGACATCGATATCTGCGAGCAAGCGGCTGGATTTCTTACCAGAATTGCCTAATTCGTTTGCTAAGAAATAATTTCTGGAGAATCCGAACTCGTCCTCTTCAATGTCATGTTGTTCCATTTTCTGGTTTTGACGAACCTAAACCTGATGATGAGAGGGAAAGAGTAGGGGCGACGGGACGGCGGAGGTAGGGAGCAGAGGAGCGGAAAGTGGCCGAGAGAGGCAGAGGGCAAAAATTTAGGCAACCGAGAGAAATCAATTTAGGGCAAAAATTTATCATGCAATTACATCCCTTCAATGGGAAAGCAAGGGTAGTTTGATTGCGGAGATATTCAACAGGAAAAACTCTGCGGGAAAGCAAAATTTTGGCCAAGAGTTTTGAGAGACAGTTTGCCGAGAGAGAGACTTTGTGCGAGAGATAAAGAAGAAGCAAAATTTCACTGGGAGGCAAAATGAAGTTTTGAGATTTCACTAAGTGTTTTGGCAAAGGAATCTTCTGCCAAAATCCAACGACGTCGTTTTGTGTTTTAATTTTTTTGGTGTATCTCACATTTTCGTAAGTGTCATAATAGGGAGTCTAAAGGTACATTATTGTTTTTATATCAAATAAAATTTAAAAAAATTAGAGTATATATTATTGAGTTGATAACTAGTGTCATGATAGAAGTTTTATAATGGCACAAACCAGCAAGTGTCCTTATAGATATGTCAGAAAAGACCATTTTTGTTGTAGTGACACCTTTTGTCTCTAGAAGAACTTGTATTTCTTAAAAACAATCTAACCGGTAACATTCCCAATTTAATTGGCAATTTGAAGATGTTAACTTTTTTAAACCTCTTTGGAAATGAGCTTACCGGACATATTCCTTCCTCCATTGGAAATTTAACAAATCTCATTTGGTTGCAACTTTCTCAAAACAACTTATATGGATCTATCCCTCCCGAATTGGGAACATTGAAGTTACTAGCTCATATTCATACTTTTCAAAACCAGCTAAGTGGTGCTCTTCCAGATGGATTCAACAATCTTACACATTTGAATATACTAACGTTGGACCAAAACTATCTTACTGGTCATTTACTCCAAAATATTTGCATTGGTAGATCTCTGACAAGATTCGTAGTATCTGAAAATAACTTTGTGGGTGCCATGCCACAGAGCTTGAAAAACTGTTCTAGTTTACGAGTTATCAATGTCGCTGACAACCAACTATCAGGAAGTATCTCTGAAGAATTTGGAGTCTATCCAGATGTGGAATTCATTAATTTAAGCAATAATGAATTTTTTGGTCCATTGTCTTGGAATTGGAGTGGCTATCTGACTTTGACAGCATTGGCGATCTCGAATAATAATCTTTCGGGTAGAATACCAACTGGGTTCGGAGAGCTATCTCTTTTTTTTTTTTTTTTTTTTTTTTTTTTTTTCCAGAAATCCAAATGATTAGTAAACCCGAAAATTAGGATAACCTAACCTATCCAACTTGAGGTCTCCACGAACCAATCGTGGCAATTCCAACCATGAATCATACACTATGTTGGACTTTAACTCAGTTCCAACCTTAGATAAGCGGTCTGCAGGCAAATTCGCTTGACGATAACAATGAGTGACGGATTGAAAGAAATGCCTAAAAGTGAGCAATTGGTCCAGCTCTCGTTGCAAATCCCATGGACATCTACTAATCCCCTTAACCATTTGGACAAGAAGTGACGAATCTGATTCCAAATGCAAGCAAAAGAAACCTCGCATAACACAAAGCTTAACTCCAAATAACAAAGCCTTCAACTCTGAATGTAAACTCGGTATGACACCCCAATAACACGCAAAACCCAACAAAAAAACCCCCGAGCTATTTCTCAAAACCCCCCCACCGCCACTCCTTCCCGGATTACCAAGAGAACTACCATCGGTATTCAGTTTACATGTCGTCAAGACTGGAGGGATCCACCTAACCAGGATGAATTTAAATGGTTTTTGCCAACTCACCAGTGAAGAGTAAAAACATGGCCACGAGTACCTTCCAACTCCAATGTCTGTAAAATGTAATTGGAAAATGTCATAGAGATCAGAAAGAACAAAAGTATTAATCTGCATGACCGACAACACCTTGCCTTCCCAAACCGCAGTATTCCTAGCTTTCCAAAGATGCCAGCAAATCAGCGATGGCAGCAGCTGATAAACCAGTTTAAGCTTAATGTTTTTAGCTGGCAGCAACCACCATTGAATGACTGCATGCTTTACCGTTGAAGGAGTGACAAACTCGCCAATATCAACCTGAAACGATTTCCAAACTTGGCGAGGGATTTCACCTGTACAGAAAACATGATCAATAGAATCAAACCCAGGATTTTGGCAGCAAACGCAACGAGATGGTCCGCACACACCAAAGCGCTGCAACACATCCAGAACCGGCAGTCTCCAAGATAGCATTCTCATCATAAAGAATGAGATTTTTGCTGGCAAGTCTTTCACCCAAATGGTAGATGAAAAGATTGACGAATTGGCAACGGTGCGGACCACCTTATAGGCTGAAGAAAAGGAAAATGAACCAGAAATTTCTAAATCCCACACCATCCTATCAGGTTGATTAGAAACAACATCCGGGGGAATGATTTGTAGAATCGTAGATACAATGTTTTCTGGGAGCCATTGTCGAAGCATTGGAATGTTCCATTGACCATTTGAAACAAAATCCGCCACTGTGTGATCTCCAAAAATGTCGATCTGCTGACATAAAGGACCTGTACCAGTCCAATTCTCATGCCAGAAGTTTATCAAGCCATTCTGCAACACCCATTGAATATGGGAATTTGCCAAAGACTGATATGTAACCAATCTCTTCCAAGTTACCGATTGTAAAGGCTGAAATTCCGCTTCGCAAGCATGCAATTTATGTAAATATTTATTGTACATAAATTCTGCCCAAATAGACTGACGTTGCCTTAAAGACCACCATAACTTCAATGAAAAGGCATTAAACACATCAGTCAAAGCCCTCACTCCCACACCCCCTTCGGCATACGGCTTACACAATGAATCCCATGCAATCCAATGATACCGAGACCCTTTATCAGTTGTGCCCCATAGAAAATTTGCAAATGCTTTCTCAAGGGTGCGGAGAACACCCTTTGGAGGAGTTGTAGCAGCTAAGACATGAATAGGCAAAGATGATATAACATTTTTGAGTAACACTAACCTCCCTCCAGATGACAAAAGCTTCTCCTTCCAAGACAGAGAGGAAGTGACTTAGCTTGAAAACCTGAGATTTGTGAAATGACACGTTTACGAGGTAAAGTCAAAGCATCATGATCAACAAAGCAACTTTTTTGAGAATTAAGTTGCTGACCAGATACACAACAATAGTTCTCCAAAACACTCATAACTTTCTTCAAAGTACGCTTAACTCCACTGCAAAAAATAATCACGTCATCCGCATAAGCTAGATGCGTGACAATAGGGCATGAAGTAGGGACCTTGAAGGGAAGGAAGCCTCTCTGTCCTACCAAAGAATTCAGCGATCTAGATAAAACCTCTGCCCCAATAATAAAAAGAGCAGGCGAAATGGGATCTCCTTGCCGCAGGCCTCGAGTTGACTGGAAAAAACCACATGGGGAGCCATTAATAAGAACCGAAAACCAGACATTAGAAATCAATCGCCAAATCATATCGATCCACCGCTCACTAAAACCAAAGCGACGAAGTACTTGCAACAAAAAGATCCATGAGACTCTGTCGTAAGCTTTGGCCATATCCAACTTCAAAACCACATTCCCCCCCTGATTGGGCTGCCGAATTCCAGAGATCAGCTCTTGAGCCAGCAAAAAATTATCTGAAATTTGCCTTCCTCTAACAAATCCACTCTGCTGAGGAGAAATAATCTTAGGAAGGAGACGGGACAATCTATCCGACAAAATCTTTGAGATCACCTTGTTGATAAAGTTACACAAACTTATAGGACGAAATTGTGTAAAGTCTTGTGGAGATTGCGACTTTGGAATCAACACTATTGAAGTTGAGGAGATACTTCTAGGCAAAACCTCCCCACAAAAAAAGCTAATAACTGCCGCATATACATCCTCAGCCACAATGTCCCATGCAAAGGTAAAAAACTTTCCGGAGAAACCATCTGGACCAGCCGCGCTATCACCATCCATAGAAAAAACCACCAACTTAACTTCTTCCTTGGAAGGGATTTTCTCCAACATCACATTATCATGTGAGGAGATTAATCTAGGAATAACCTCAAGAGTTTCAAAGGATTGAGCATATGATTCATCCGTGAACAAACGTTTAAAAAATGATTCAGCCTCTCCCTCAATATCAGATGTGCTATCCAACCACTTCCCATCAGACGACTTGATGCGATGGATTAATGATCTACTTTGTCGTTCCACCACCACAGAATGAAAATACTTGGAGTTCCTATCGCCATCCTTTAACCACTTAATCCTAGATTTTTGTTGCCAAAACATATTCTCAGTTGCATGTGAACGCCTTAGCTGGGCTTGTGCTTCGTGTAATACAACTAAATTTGGCTGAGACGGATCAGCATCATAACTAACCTCAGCATTGAGAGCACGTTGTTCTGCCACCTTTACAGCTTCAAAGATGTCACCGAATACCTCGCGCGACCACATTCGTAAGGCCATCTTTACATTCCGAAGCTTGGCTGCAAGGACCTTTAATGGAGGGCCTGAAAAATTCCCAATCCAGTTGCACCTAACCACGTCCAACAGTTCTGGTTTGGATGTCCAGAAATTCAAAAAACGAAAAGGCTTTGGTTTGTTATCCAATTTTGTTTGAGCCGACAATAACAATGGAGCGTGATCTGATGGGTCTCTACACAAATGTTGTACATCGAAACCTAAGCCTAGGTTGGAAGAAACCTGATTCATAAGCAACCTGTCTAATCTCTTCCAAATACGCGCCCGACCATATCTATTGTTGCACCATGTGAAAATAGACCCTGAATACCCCACATCAAAAATTCCAGCTTGAGACATAAAGTTCAACAATTCCCAACCTTCCTCTGGTGTAAACGGCACCCCACCCCTTTTCTCCTCCTCCGAGACAATGACATTAAAATCCCCCACAAGAAGCCAGGCAGACTGAGTCGGCTTGTCCGCAAGAAGGCTATTCCATAATTCTACTCGTTGAAGGGCAGTACACTTGGCGTGCACAAATGAAAAAATAATAGGGACCGCAAATAATGCAGAATCAATTTGTAACGACAAATGTTGATTAGATTCTCCTACTTTACGACACGAAATAGAGGCTTTAAAAAAAATCCAAATATCACCCGTACTGCTAAATATAGCATGGTCCATATTAAGTCTCATCCTGATCGAATGGATCTCTGCAACTTGAATTTTTGGTTCACAAATAGCTACTAGTTGAATGGAATGGTGTTTTACCAAATACCTCAATCTTCGAAAATTTGGGGCGCGAGAAACACCCCTAATATTCCAAAACATAAACTTAATCATTGAGACAAGGAAGAGGAAGAGTTTGAGGAAACCTTGGCTTTCGATCGCAACGAACGATCAGATGAAAATTTAGCCCTGACACCTTTTGGTTTGCCATGCGTAACCACCTGTAAACCTTCCTCATGTTGGAGCTTTTCACTGACTTGTTGAATGATCGGGTCAAGATTAAAGATATCCGCAACCGCAGATGATTGTTTTGCCTGCAAATCCTCTAGCACACCACAATGAGATATATCAATGACAAGCGCATTCTGCTCTGAAGAACTAGCTTGCTGGTTTTCCTTTCCATCCATAAGTTCCAGTCCATCACCAGTGGGAGCCACCGTTATAGTATCTTCCAGTCCATCAAGATCATGCTGAGACACCACCGCCTGAGTATCAGCAGGTTCGGTGAAAATCCCAGTACAAATATTTGCTTCTTCTACAAGAGGATTCGTGTTTTTTGAAGGCCCCTCCTTATCAACCACACCCACATCCTCCTCCGTAGTAGCCGGCACAATTATTGGATGCACCTCTTTCCCAGATTGATCATCCTGTTTGCTGTTCCCAGAATGATCATCTTGTTTGCCTATTGTGGCCAAGGCAGGTGAAGAAATAGTTTGAAAACGTGCATGACCATCCTGTTTCTTGGTAGCTAACGGTCTCTGAATTTTAAGATCCGGATATAGCATATGACAATCCTCTTGGATATGTCCCTGCTTAAAACAGTGGGAACAATATTTAGGCAGGCTTTCTGGAATTAAAGCTTGCCAAAAGCCCTCATGATCACCATTACCAATCCACACCCTAGGAGTAAGAGGTTTTAGCAAATCTACTTCTACACACACCCTTGCAACACTTGGTCTTGAAGCCACCATGGTAGCAGAATCTACAAACAGAGGATTGCCCAAAATTCCCGCGATCTGGAACAAGCATTCTTTGTTAAAGTAATGCAGCGGCAGTTTTGGTAACTTAAACCAAACTGGAACCACCGAAGGCTCCTTGTCCACATGGAAAGCAGGAGACCATTTAAAGACACGCATAGGGGCACCATAAACATACCATATACCTCTAGCCCAGATCCGATGAAAGTCCACCTCATTCCCCAAGTTAATCACTACATGTCTGGAGTCTAAAAGACCAACCTTAGCAGCCTCTTTTAGATCAAGAGAAAAGAAGAATTTCCTGAGATCCTCCATAGATGGACGACCCTTAGAAAATTTACCAACCAAAGCAAATTTGTATGGAGCAGCAAGTGTGGTCAAATCAGTTTGGGAAAAAAGAATCGCAGGTTCCCCTCGATGAGTCGAAGACACTGCATTGATAGTCAAAATGGGCTGGGCAGCTGCATTACCAAAGAGTTCAGAAAAAGATTTCTTTTGGAATGTGGGAGAAGGAAGGGATTGCCCTCCAGCCGGAGGCTGAAGGGCAGCTTGACCTGCCATCAACCTCAAGATCACCGAAAGTTATATTTTCTTTTTACACCACTTTACACAGCTTTACACCGCTATCTCTCTTCAAATCACTTGCATGGGAAGATTTCAAGAAGTTTGGGGAAGTTGACTTTGTTGCTTAAGCTTAAGCTGCACAACAACAGTCTCTCAGGCAATATAGTCCAATGAAATCAATGGCCCAAACATCAATTAATTCAATTTCAAGAAACGCATGTAAAGACATTTAATGCTTTCTAGAGATGTTACTGGTTCTTTGGGATTCATTACAACTTTTAACAATAGCATCCTTGTACAAAGTAGGCAATAAAATTCAGATTGCCATACCTTTGCAATTATTTTAGAAGTGCTACAATGACCTCCAGATTCACAATTATGACAATGGAAAACATTACTATATATGTTCCTCACCTTCCAGCACACATCTACGAATCATCCCATCTACACAATACTTGTATAACAAAGGTTCCTCCTAAAAATAATGCTTCACAACATAAAAGAATCGCTTCCTTTGATGATGACTCAAACCTTTCGAGATTGTACCACTTACAATGTAATTCACAGTCTGTGTATCATGGTGAATCATTGATAGCTAGCAATTGTTCATCTGAAAAATTCTCGTTGATTGGAACCACATCATAGAAAGGGATATTAGAGAAAGGTGATCGACTACCACATTCTCAGATCCATTTTTGTCTCTAATCTCAATGTCAAATTCCTGCAAAAGAATAACCGAATAAATAAGTCTAGGTTTTGCATCTTTCTTATTTAATAGGTATTTGAGAGCTACTTAGTCAACCTAAACAGTAACTTTAGAATCAATTAGATAGGATCTAAAATTTTCAAGTGCAAATATAGCCGCCAATAATTCTTTCTCGATTTTGGCATAATTGACTTGAACTTCATTTAAAATCCTACAAGCATAATAAATAAGATGCAATCTCCTTTCTTTTCATTGACTAAGAACTGCATCAATTGCATAATCGCTAACATCACACATAAGTTCAAATGGCAATGATCAATTCGGTGACGTTATGATAGGAGTAGACGTCAACATCTTTTTTGACCTGTTGAAAGCATTCAAACAATCATCATTAAAATTAAATATGGCATCTTTGCTCAATAAACCACATAAGGGTTTAGCAATTTTGAAAAAATATTTAATAAAATGATGATAAAATCCTGTATACCCAAGAAATCTTCTAATACCCTTAACATTAGTTGGTGGAGGTATTTTCTCAGTTAATTCAATTTTAGGTTTATCCACCTCAATTCCCCTCGAGGAAATCTTATGACCTAATACAATTCCCTTTCTAATCATGAAATAATTTTTTCGAATTAAGGGCAAGGTTAGTATCTTCACATCTTTGCAAAATTTTCTCTAGGTTATTTAAATAATCATCATAAGAAGATCCAAAAACTAAAAAATCTTCCATGAAAATCTCCATGATCTTCTCTACATAGTTGGGAAAAATGGCCGTCATGCATCTTTGCAAAGTCGCTGATGCATTACACAAGTTAAATGGCATTTGCCTAAATGCAAGAATACCATAAGGACAAGAGAATGTAGTCTTCTCTTGATCCTCCTAAGTGATGACAATTTGGTTATACTCTAAAAATTCATTAAGAAAATAATAAAATTCATAACCAGCCAAATGCTCCAAAATTTGACCAAGAAAAGGTAAGGGAAAGTGACCTTTTCTTGTAGCTGCATTGAGTTTTCTATGGTCAATGCATACTCTTCAACCAACAATGATCCATTTTCATTCACAATAACTATTATCTTGCCTTTTTTTGGCACAACATGAATTGGACTAGTCCATTCACTATTGGAGATAGAAAAAATTATACCCACATCTAGCTATTTTAGGATCTCAACTCTCACAACATCCTTCATATTTGGATTCAAACACCTTTGAGTTTCAACTGCAGGTTTGATATCTTCCTGCAAAAAAATTCTATGCATGCAAATTGTGGGGCTTATACCCTTGAGATCGAAAATGGTCAAAGCAATTTCCGGTTTGTGCTTTCTCAAAACTTGTAGTAATTTCTCCAACTGCACATCGTCAAGAAAAGTACTAATAATCATAAGTAATGTATTATTTTCACTGAAAAGTGCATGCTTGAGATGATCAAACAATAGCTTAAGCTCAAGAATTGGAGCTTACTCACTAAATAGTAGTGGTAGTCATTTTTCCTTTCGTAAATTGTCATAATACTTTCTTCTTTTACAAGGCATTTTAGAGTTCACGAAATTGGCCAATTGTAAAATGTTCAAATTCTCATCTTCTTAAAAATAGCATCGAACAAACAAGATTCAAGAGGATCAGGATCTTGTTTCATTTGACTCACAACTCAAGTTAGATTCTCAATCACATCAATTGCAATAAACGTGGTTAGTAAATGAAGGAAATTTCTCAAGTTCATGCAAATTATCTTCACCTACTTGAAACTTAAGGTTTCCTTATTTGACATCAATTATAGCACAGGTGGTAGTTAAGAAAGATCTACCAAGTATAATTGGCATATTTACATCTTTTTCCATGTCCAAAACAAAATCAGCAGGAATAATGAAATTCTTAACTGTTATTAATACATTTTCAAGCACTCAAAGAGGATATTTTATTGATGTATCAGCTAATTCCAAAGAAATGCTAGTCCGCTTAAGTTTACTTAATCCAAGCTTCTGAGCAACATACAAATGAATCAATGAAACACTTGCACTCAAATCACAGAAAGCATTAGAAAAATAATGTTATCAATAGTGCAAGGAATTGAAAAATTGTCTGGATCTTTTAATGCACTATTTTCCTCCATCAATGTTAAAATCTCGTGGTCCTCTAGACGCCTCTTCTTTAACATGCTCTCTTTTAGAAACTTGGCTTGTAATGAAATTTGAGCAATAGCATCTGCAAAAGGAAGGTTAATATGCAATTTTTTATACAATTTTACAACATTTTCAAACTCTTTGTCGAATATACTTTGCTTGAGCCTTTGAGGAAATAGCATAGGGGTATAAGTAAATCGGTTTTAGGAGGTAATTTTATATTTTCTACAACTTTCTTCTTACCTTTCTCCCCCACACTTACCCCTTGACTGTCACTCAAATGTTCATTTTCTTCTTCTCATGCTCAACATTAGAAGGGCCATTTAATTGTTTACAACTCCCAAAGGTAATTGCTTTACAATACTCCCTAGGATTGATTTCGATTTTACTTGGCAATTTTCCTTGGTTTCTAGGGTTTATGGCATTAGTTATTTAACCTAATTGGATTTCTAGATTCCTATGCATGTTCAAAAATTAGTCAAATTTTTCCTCCCCTTGCTCAAATCTCTTCGAGGTGGCTTTACTAATCTATCCATGTTGCTATTAGTTGTGTTAGTTAATCTTTCAATGGCCAACTCCCAGGT